AAAACGAAATTTAAATGAATTAGGTTTTTAAATGAAATTCCTAGATCTTTTGAGATTCATTAATTGCACTATTCAATGACATGTTTAATCTCGCTTATGTCATTTATATTTGTGACTGGTACCGAGGATCACAAACAAGGTGTGAATAACCATGCAAATTAGTTTAGTACTCTCGATATCATTTATCACCTAATCAATGTGCCGGTTAACCACACACGCTTCATTGATCTATGATAATTTACGAGCTACTCATTTCCATCCTTTATCATTCCATATTAGTGCGTCGATTAACCACACACGCTCCACTAACGACTTTAATAAAGTGCAATGTGCAATTTCTTGGATTAGCATCAAATTCACATTTCCCTAAAGTAACTAAGATTGAGAATTTTTTATAAAAATATTTAGTTACTTCATATTTTCATTATACTTATTAATGAGAATTTAATGTCCTATCCTACCCGTTCGGCTAACGACCCTCCACTAGTCAAGAGCGCGGTGGGTAAGAATGGATACCCAATGAGGGTCATTTATAAGTCGCTTCCTTAAACACCCCTTATAGACCAGCTTCATGAATGAGGCCTACTAACGGTAAGACTGACATTTTCTTATATATATATATATATATATATGATATAATATATATATTATATATATATATATATATATAAACTTTTATCTTACAATAAATATATAAGGGTGTATTTTAAACTTTTAAAATACTAGGGTTCTAGAATTTAAGATTTCAAAATTAAACTTTTAATTAAATTTTAAATTCCAAAACCAAATGGGTATTTTTAAAACTTTTCAAAAATACTAGGTTAAATCCTTTTTAATAATTAAACTAATAAATTAATTTTGTGTTTATCAAAAATTTTAACCAAATCATGGAATCATGATAAGGATATAAGATTACAAATTTAATTTACCAATTTTAGACCATCAAAAATTTTAACCTAATCATGGAATCATGATAAGCTAGTGAGGCTCTCAAATTTCAAAATTCTCTGGAGACTTTGCAAAAGAATAACTTGATGAAGCAAATGCAACATTAGGCAAGGAAAAACAGGAGTCAGGCAAGAAAGCTCTAAAAAAGATGTTAGTTATAACAAATTATTTAAATTACTTTCTGTCATTTGTTGAGTAAATAATATTTTTATATTAAGTATGTCAAATTTATTTTCTTAAATTACTTTTGTCATGCGCATAGTTCTTAACTTCATAAAGAATTGTTAAAAGTAAATAATAATAATAATAATAATAATAATAATAATAATAATAATAATAAAATAATAAAATTATCGAATCAAAACGAATTAAATAAATTGTTAATTGATATTTACGTTAAAAGGTTCTATATAAACAAGCCACGTGACTAATTAAAGTAATTCATGTGATGGTCGTACGATATTAGTTGGGTTTGAAAAATCTTACCCAAATGTATTTAAAAGAAGATGAAATAACACAAAAGTTGAGCAATGTTTCCAAAGTTGATCGATTCAATCATTAAAATTATTTTTGGTTTTTATGGGGTATAAGGTAGGTTACGACCGACTCTTTTAGCCCCTTCAACCTCTAATAACCGGTACACCTTGCGACATGTGGTCATTTAGGCCTGACGAAACTCACATTATACCCCCATAAAGCCAAAGAAATAAGTTTGGGGATCATTTAAACCAAAACTCACAAAATCGAGTTCAATCGATACTTTCATCCCCGATTCTCTCCATCCCCGATCTTCAAAACTTTCTAGTCTCTGAAAACAGTTTTATTGGAAATTTCCAAAATCAATTCCAAGAATGCCCTTCGGTTTCGATTCTTGATCTTTCTTTTAACCAGTTCACTTCACTGGAACTGTTCCGGCGAGTATTGCTTCTTGCCAGAAGTTGGTGTACTTAAATCTCCAGAATAACCAACTCACCGAGAAATCCCAATTCCAATTTCTATGATGGGCACGCTCGATATTCTTGATCTGTCCAACAATTCCTTAACAAGCGGTATCCCCAAAAACTTCGGGAATTCTCCGGCATTGGAGTCGCTGAACGTATCTTACATCAGACTTCAAGGCCCAGTTCCGGTAAATGGTATACAAATAGAAGCCATTTCGAGGACAGATCCGAGATGGGAAAAGGAGAATGGCCATGGCGTTTCAGAAACTCAATTTTAACAGCAGTGACATCCTGAATTGCATAAAAGAATTGAACGTGATCGGAATGTGTTCGAAGAAGAATACAGAAAACAAATCCTTAACAGAAGTAATCGATCTGAATTAGGAAACTGCAAACTCTCAAAGTTCCTCTTGCAATAAAGTGTTAGAAATGCATGTTTTTAAGTTTTGGTTTAAATGGTCCCTCAATTTATTTTTTTGGTTTTATGGGGGCATAAAGTGAGTTTTGTCAGGTCTAAATGGCCACATGTCGCATGATGTATTGGTTATTAGAGGTTGAATGGACTAAAAGAGCAATTCATAACCTACCTTATACCCCTATAAAGGCAGAAAATAACTTTATGAATTGAATCGACCGACTCTGAAAATATTGTAGGACTTTTGTTTCCCCTAAAAATGATTATTACAAATATTGAAATAAGCAACTTTGATGGTGAAGGCTTGAAGCAAGTTCTTGAACATGCTAAATGGACGATTAAAGACTTCCGTGGTCAAATAACCTAATCACCAATATAATTCTACGACTTTCTTATGTCCAATTAAACTTTTAAAAATAATTTAATCACCAATTTATCACGTATGAGTCATAAGTCGTGCTATGATCAGCTATATATATATATATATATATATATATATATATATATATATATATATATATATATATATATATATATTTAATTAAGAGAATATAGTTTTATATACAAGGTAACTTATGTTCATAAATAAACTGGTCATATCTCTATTTTAATAGGCATCCTAATTAATGCATATTTTATTTTCCTTTTATCATGTGTCACATTATTATGTCTCCTAATTAATGCATGTCATTTGTCAACTCCATTTCAAATTTCAAAATTTAAATTTCTCACTCTAATTAAATTAAATTAATAATATTAGAATAAAAATTAAAATAAAATTAATACAAATTATAAAATGATATAATTTCACATATTTATTTAAATCAATGATTAAAATTTATATAACTAAAAAAAATCTCTTAATTAATAATTTATTTAAAATAATTAATTAAAATTTTTGAGATTTTACTATAAAAATTTAATTAATTTTGTAACCGTGGTTCCCACGGGTTATAAACTAGTAACTATCAATAAAAATAAATGTATACACTTAATTTAAGTTACAAAACTATTCTAGATTCATAATTAATAGGGTTAATGTCATAAAAGTCCTTAGGTTTTCAAAAAATTGTTGGTTTTACCCTTTGATGTGTTTTGGGCTCGTTAAAGCCGGATATTTGATTTAATTACTGCACTTATGCCCTTCTAGGGGGTTTCCCAGTCAACTGCCGGTCACATAGAACCCATCTAACCCACTGATCTATAGATGCCTAAAATCATCTCCATTTCCATCACCTTCGCATCTGCAAATCGAATTTTCTGTCTATAGATATTCAAACTCTCCTCATCTCAACTATCACCATCTCTATTCTCCATAACTAAAGGTGCACACAGCAGCCCCTCACCACCGTTTCATCCTCTTCTCCGTCCCCTATTCTCTCTGTTCATCATGCTTTCCAAAAGCATCAAACCTGAAATCCACCATTGTTACCATCATTGAAATCCACCACCGATGTCATATCTACATTGATATCGTCCACATGATACTTCAAAAATACATTGATATCGTCCACTACCACCTCCACTAACACTCTTCTCTTCATTCACCCTATTCACCAATCACCATGGTCATCTTGGAAATACAAAAGAACACAAAAATACACACATAACACATAAATCAGTAGCAAATCATACATTGTGTGTTGTGTGAAAATTTTAATCACAAAACAGATATTAGTGAACCCCAAAATGGATGTGTTTTCCTAAAATCAAAGATGAAGAGGTCTGAATCGGTTGATGAACAGGTGCGACCTTGACTCCAAGGTCTGAATTGGGTGATGAAGGTGATGAACACGTGATGAACCCCTTTTCTCTGATTCATGTTCCAATGATGGAATCTGATGTATGTGAGCATGACAGAAGTAGGGTAGCTCCTTATATCAATCTGGAAAATCGAAAGGGAAAGATGGTGGAGGAGATCAATCCGTTCATCACCCAATGTCGATCTGAATCGAATTTCATGGAGGAAGAAAAGTCTGATCAGTCACATGCCCTAATCTTCAAGGTCTGAATCGGGTTTCATGGTGGTTGGGGTTCGATTTAGAAGAGAAGAAGAAGAAGGGAGACCATCATGGTTTGATTCATTGCACGCGAGGTTAGATTCAGAAGATAAGAGCAAAGAGAAGAAGAGGAAGAAGGAGGTCTGGGGATGAAGATGACGGTGGGTGGGGATTGAAGCAACGTGAGAGTGTAACCGGATAACCTGTTGGTTACCTGTTAAATGGCGATTTTGACGCAATTACTCTAAATATCCGGCTTTAATGAGCCTAAAACACTTCAAAGGGTAAAACCAACAATTATTTGAAAACTTAAGGGCTTTTATAACAATAGTCCTAATTAATAAGCAAAAAAACGTTATAATTGTGTGAAACTTTACTAAAAATTTGTATTGAAAATAAATTTGATCTTACCGTGTATTTTACATTTCTTAAAGATAATTTTATGTAGGGAAAATTTCACATATATCCTTACAAACCCTTACAAAAATTAAGAATTAGGTTTATATCCTTTCAAAATTCATAGATATATATATATATATATATATATATATATATAATATATATATATATATATATATATCCTTGTTAACCTAGTAAACTCACATTTATATCCAAGTTTATAATTTAAAGAGATATAAAGTAATTTAATATCAAAAAATATATTTAAAATCAAAAATACATATAGATTTACCAAAATACCCTTTAAACATTATTAAAGATTAGAACTAAATGCATTTAATTAGGATTAAACCTAATTAATTAGGATTAAACCTAATTAAATGTGGGAAAAGTCCACCACGTGAAACAGAACAGAAAAACCCTCCAATATCGAATACTGCCATATCGACGTGAAGAACTCCAAAGTCGACTTGCGGTTTGCGTTTCTTCATCATTCGACTTGCATTTTGCGTTTCTTCATCTTGTGTTCTTCATCGCAGTGGACTAATAAAGTCCGTCTTTTTCATCACAGGTATTATTTTTTCCTCATTTGATTAATTTTGATTGTATAGGCGCATTTTAATCACAGGTATATTTTTAGTCTCTCTGATCATAGTGTTTTTTCAAGATTCTGTATTAAACTGTAAATTCCAAGTTATCTACTAATTATTTGGTATGCTTAGAAATAACGACAAATTCAGAATGCATATTGCGAAATCCCAACTGCTAACTCTATTATAACTTTTCATCTTTTGAGATGAGTTTTTGCTTTGAGCAGTCAAACAAGTTTCATCTTCATCTTCACTGCTTTCAACATGGTTTCAACATCATCACCTTCATCTTCAGTCATGTATTTCACACTCTAAAAATATATGAGAAAAACCTGGTAAGAAAATGGGGAAGACAGAAAATAAAAGCTAGTAAAAATATTGTAGGGCATAGGATTTCATTCACAGAAATAGTAGAGCCAATAAATCAATAAGGAGTGGTAATTTCTCATTCAATTTTCCATTAATTTGTTCAATTAAGCACAAGAATTAACATTGACAACTCTAAATCAGTGTCCCCAAATGCAGAAGCATCAGTAAACACTGCAGCAAAAAAAAAGTATAACTTTTTGATGTAAACTACACAAATTACTTGAAGGGTATCACTGTAATTTACCATCAAGTTGAGTAAGATGTTGTAGCTCAAATGGGTCAGCAAATACTCCAGAGGGCAGTCTCTATAACTATGGCCTTACAACATCGATTCAGACTAGCAAAGAAAAACGACAGACAATGAGCATAAATCACAAATGCATGAACTCGATTTGTTCAAAAACAAGTTGAATTGATTGGCTTTCTCGATGGTTTCAAATATATCTCCATTTGAGCTCTTAAAATACTCCCTCCAGTAATACGTTCGTAAAGCAGATTTCGAAGCTGCCATTGTAACTACCTCGCCTCCATCAAACTCGAAAGGAAATCCACAAAGATCAAATACTTTGATTATTTGAAAGATATTTGACAGGTTGTACCCGATGATCAAAAACCCGATTCGATTGCACCCTACAAATTAAAAAGCTTCGATTGTGAAACAAATTTGATAGAAATTAGGGAATAACAAAATAATAGAAGAAAAGAACAACAACTAAGAGGGAAGAGGGTGATGGAGACCGGAAGATGGGAGGGAGAGATGAAACTCGATTTTTGGCGATGGAGAAAGGTGCTTGGTTGGCTGATCGATCACGACGACGGAGGATTCAATTTTCCCCTCAGCCTAATTAACAATTTCTAGCAATAAAAAGGAATACGATTTAATTTTGGATATAATGTGTAAAGGGTATTTTGGTAAATTTATATGTATTTTTGATTTTAAATATAATTTTTGATATTAAATTAATTTATATCTCTTTAAATTATAAAATTGGATATAAATGTGAGTTTATTAGGTTAATAAGGATATACATGTAATAAGAAATTTTGAAATGATATAAACGTAATTCTTAATGTTTGTAAGGATATCCTTTTCTCTAATATAGTACTTCATTTTATAATAGTTTTTATTTTAGATTAAATCAATTATTTCATTTAACTAAAACTCTATTTTAAATTAAAGTCCACACTATCATATTTTGAGGGTTGTAACGACAACCCAGGTCCCCAAATATGTGTAATTTTAAAGTTTCTTGAAATTTCTTATTTTTGTGATTCTGATTTTGGGATTTTGAATTTTGATTAGGAATTCCGATTTCTTACACTATGAAATTTGTTTTTTTTATCAAATCTTATTCTGTCATTCTAAATTTCGATTTCTCTAATGATGATTCTGTTGTATTTCGATGTCTTCCGCTGTCATTCTAAATTTCACATTTTTTATTATTGTGTATTGAGCTTTTTCAACTGAATTCCGCAGAGGTTATTAACAGCCAACAAGAATAGGTGTTTGTCTCGTATGCCACCGGTAGTTGCTAGTTTAAGGCATTAATACTAATTTTGTTGTTGGGAAATGTCATGTCTTCAAAACGTGCACCAACATGGGGAATTGATGGATAATCTTTGGTGTTACTAGATTTGTTGTTGTATATTAATCGATGTACCTTGTTATTTCATGTTTTGTCCCCAAAGTTCGGTTGTTTTTTTTTGTGACGTAAGTAAGATTTTAACTGATGAGATCTACGTGGCAGCATATTGCTCAAGTTATGTCCCTATAACTAGGGTTGTTCACTATTTTGATAAAACTGGATTGTCCAATTGGACAATTTGGATTGTACTATTTGGTTCGGATATTCGGATTTTTGGATTGGTTTTCAACAAAACCGAATTATTATTTTGGATTTCGGATTGGATTTGGTTTATAAAATAAGAACCAAATATTCCAAAGAAACCGAATAAATATTTATTATTTATTTATTTATAATATATATATCTATAGTTATTTATTAATTTTGTAATTTATTTTTTCAAATAGGTTCAAAACGTCTCACCCGATAAAAAAACATTAATATGCATTTTCTCTAAAAAGTTTTATATCTATAAAATATTTAACTATAATATATTTTCTTAGTAATTGTTTATAAATTTTAAATCACAACTAAATAATTTGTTTTTGTTTTTTGTGTAAGTTGAGTAATATTATAATTATATGTCGTTTTAAAATGTTTCGGTTTTTGAAAAACCGAATTATAAAAACCGATCCAACCGAATTGTAATTGGATTGGATCAGATCGGATTTGAATTTAGTTTGGACTATTCGGATCAATGTTTTGAAAACCGAAATCAATTTGGATTCACACTATTGGATCGGATCAAACCGATCCATCCAAACGAACACCCCTACCTATAACCCACACAAATGAGCAATTGCGTATTGATAAGGGCAAACATTAAAAACATATTTTTTTTTTAATTGTTCCTACCATTTTGGTTCATACTTTCTGATGTTAAATTGTTATCGACTTGTTACAAAGGTTAAAAATAGAAAAATAATCTTTTTTTGCAAAGTAACTTTTTTATTCATTCTGATGATCATATGCCTTTTGGGTACTTTAGTTTTGGACCTGTTTCTAACAAAATTAAAAATTATCATAATCGTTTACTGATATTGTTAGACCAAAGGTGTATCCATCTTTCAACACTTATTTTTTCATTGTCACGTCAGTTTTCCATTCTTCATCTTTTACTTACCAAAATACAGCAAATTGTCACCCTTCATTATCTTTAATTTTTTTTTAATGTATATATTTTATACAAATATTATACTTGTTTTTGTAGGGAATTAAAAACCATGAATTTTAATATATTTTTTATAATGTTTAATATATATATATATATAATATATATATATATATATATATATATATATATATATATATAATATTATATATATATATATATATATATATAGGGCTACGTTATAATGTGGATGGACAACTATTATGCGGATATGTGGACAATGATATTCTATGAGAAATACTAAGAGAATAGGTTGTTTAATAATGTGAATACGTTCAACCTCACACAATTATTGTCATTTTCATGCATTCTCACTAATTCTTATTCATTTTTTTTCTCACACATCATCTTTTACTCATTTTCATTCTTACAGAATACGACTCAATAAACATTCTGACATAATGAGAATAATAATAAAAAAAAATATATAATAACCTTATAGACGATTTAATTAAGGTGAATGCATGATAATGACAATAGTTATGTAAGATTAAACGTATTCACATTATCAAAACAACATATTTTCTTTGTCATTCTCACATAATAGCATTTTCCACTCGTCCGCACAATAGATGTTAATCCACATTTGAACATAGATCTCTCTCTCTCTCTCTCTCTCTCTATATATATTATATATATATATATATATATATATATATATTAAAAAAGCTTGAAAAAAAAATGTTGACCAATCATACGAATAGAGAGTGAACGGGGTAGCCTCCCCCCACTCCCTAAACCACAGTGGCGGTGTAGTGTTCTGACCATGGTTCCGGTTCCCCCGCACATCTTCTCGCTACATTCCTCCGACCTTATATACATTTATTAATTTATTATATGAAAAAACAAATAAGATGTTAAATTCATTTTAATATCTCTTTAAACCTAACCGAATTACCCAACACCGATTAAACCATGTTATTTGGATTGGTTTGAGTTTTAAAGTTTTAAAAAACTAATTAATTCAAATCGAATAAACTAAAAACCAAGTAAACTGACCAAGTAACACCCTTTCAAGAGCATTATTTTTTATTTTGCCCTGACCTCAAATAAACTTGTAACGGATCTGAACATAGACAACCACACATTCATACATGCATATCAATTTAATGAATTTATAAAACAAACAGTTTAATGATTTTACATTTTGATGTTCTTACTGGGCCTTAAATTCTGAATTCTGAATTCTTCATCGTAAAGGTGGGCCTTGTTTACCACTTATAGACCCAATCACCCAAATATCAAGAAAAACAGAAATGGGTTGACGAAACTATGAACCGGCCGTTGTTAATAAAATATAAAGTAACCAGCCAATATTTTATTTGGCAATAATATAGAGTTGTCGTTTATGATCAATTCAAGTATATGATTATTTGTTTATGATTTATTAAAAAATTTTAAATTTATTAGAGGTTGAATTTTTCATTAAACTCTCGAATTTTAGAATACCTCTTGACATGCAATTATTAAGAATTTAATTCCCTTCAAGATCCCGGATGAATTAAAAAGACAAAAAAAAAAAAGTCGAGCAAGCATGCCAAATCAAAAGGTTCGAAAGAGATTTAATATTCATTTTTTGATTCGATTATGAGCAAAACCAAACCAAACCAATTCGATTCTCAGCCAATCATTTCCTTTAATTAAGTTATTTTTGGTAATTAATAAAAAATAATCTTAAAAATTAGATTAACAATATATAGGGGTAAAAGGGTAATTTTATTTCGAAATAATTATGGAAATAAGAGAAATTTTGGGATTCTTAAATTTTCTAAATTTTAAATTTCAGATTTATTGAAATTCATATATTCAAAAAATACTAAATTTTTAAAATTTGAGTTATAACTTAAATTTCGAAATAATATTCACTATAGAATATATTATACTAATATTCACTATAAAATATATTATACACTTTCCAAATACCAATTAACAAATGCATATTCACAACAGAATATACATATATCAATTCATATGTATTAATAACATAACAAATTCTTTATTGAATATGGATATAAACATAAATTTGTATATACTAAAGGCATAACAAAATATTAACATACATACAAATATGAACCTATACTAAAAATAGACAAAGAAATTATATAGGTTCTATGCATTCTATTATTTTTTGGTTCTTAGTCTTAACTATATTTCTTTCTCGACTTTGCCTATTTTCTTTTGTGAGTTCTTTTTACCTATAAATACAAAACAAAAAAAAACATAAATAATAAGTTGTATGAAAAAATTCATTACTGAAATAACAAAAGAAAACTTAATGGTTTATGTTATAGAACAAATTCATAACAGAATAAACATATATTCATTAATAATCTATTATTAATATGACAATTAGCATTTTAAATTCAAAATAGAAATTCTAATAACAATTCGTTGAAGATTAAATTTTATCATTTTAAATTCAAAATAGAATTTCTAATAATTATTCGCTAAAGATTAAATTCACAACAGAATATTTAATAGAAAGTCTAAATTGAAAAGAGATTTTCTAATAGCAAATCAAGTTTTCTAAAAAACAACATTGATACAAGAATTATTGCATGTTACTTTGAAAAACCTTAAAAAAACAAGAAAAATCTACAAGAAATATTAGTTTCTTATATAGTAGGTTAACTGGGAACTTAATGTACACATATGGTGATTTAACGTTGTGAAAGGGAAAATGGATAAAAAAAAATATATTCATTTGACATAGCCTGTCAAGTGGGGACTAAGCAAAAACTAGTGGACAAACGAAATATTATGGCAAAGGAAATGGAAATATTATTTATAGTTTTATTCAAGTAGCATGGTTATTAGTTTGCAAAGGATAACAAGGTGGGCATGTTTTTACACACTAATAAAATCATGTCAGAAAAGTTTTCATATCTATATATTTTTTCTAAATTGAAAAGCAGTGCCAATATTTAGTTTTTTAGATAATAGGTGTCCTCATTAAACAGAGAAGTAAAACACATCAAAAAAAATGAACAATGGGATTAAAAAAGGTAAGTGTGTCTGTCGAAAGAAATTTTCTTACCACAAAATTACATTGATGGTTTTCTGCCTGTTTATCAATTTCCCGGAAGATAATTGGAGAAATGTAATGAAGATACACAAGTCTAAACGATTGAAAGTTTTCAAGAAATCCACATGAAACCAACAACATGCTACTGCTCATCTCACTTCTTTACCGAAAAATCCCATTAATTAATATCCTTGTACATGCATCGATTCCCTTGCCGGTAAAATCAACTGACCTCAATCAGGTCGAATAGCACCCATATACCACTCCCTGCCTCGACCGGTGATACGACCGGGCATTAGAACCAACCCTGATGATCTCTCATTTTTCCCAGAAAAAGAAACAACTTATAATCATCGTCGACATCAATCGGTTTGTGACGAAAACTTCAGAGAATTAGGGTTCTGATTGGTAACACAGTTAAGATCGGAAAAAAGAGAAAAGAAAATGAAGATCAGCAAAGCATAAAAGAGAAAAACACACTTGTTGATGCCTTGATCGAAAACGACAATGACGAGGGGATAAATGGACCGACGGAGAGAGGAATGACTGAAAGTGGTGTCGGTGACCACAGAAGGAAGCGTTTGGTCAGTTTTCATCATCATAGACGTATAAATGGCAGCTAATCTCTCCAAAATCCAAACCCTAATTGGAGAGATAAACACTAATTTCCAAAAATACACGATTATTTATTAACGACATATGTAAAATACCACAAATGCCCTTTTATTTTCTTTTTTATTATAAAATTAAATAGATAAAATGATTGGTTGACAAATGTTCTCACGTTCTCACAATAATCTTTGTTTTTATTTGAACTTACCTCTCTCTCTCTCTCTCTCTCTCTCTCTCTATATATATATATATATATATATATATATATATATATATATATATATATATATAAAGAGAGAGAGAGAGAGAGAGAGAGAGATAGGTTCAAATGTTTCTAACAACTATTGTGTGCATGAATGCACCAATAGGAATTTAGGAATAATTAATTAATTAAAAATTGTATTAAGGGTAATTATGTAACTTTAGCATGATAATTAAAATAAAATCCCTTAATACATGGAAATTACCATAAAAATATGTTTGACCAATTATTTAACCCTAGCCTCTCATATATACGTATTCTATTTCTGTCTCCTCTCATTTTCTTAGTGACGTTGTCGACGATGTGAATTGGGGGAAAAGGACTTCGATCCTCGTCTGATCGAGAAAGAGAAGATGAACGAAGGCAACAAGGCTGCTCGGGCAGCTCTACGCTTCTTCTTCCTCGGAAGGGATATGCGAAATCTGTTCCTCTTCTACTCCAGCCGTGAGGTGCGAATCGGAGGAGATTAGCGACTTCAGGTTAGTGTTTTGTTTATTGAGTTTGACTGGAAGAAAAGAAAACGAAAAAGAACTCGATCAAAATAAGGGAAAAACGAACGAAATGCAATAATAGGGGTGGATTGATGATGGATGCCCACTGCGAACAGGGAGTAGGAAAGTGGTGGTTCGGTGGGAGGAACTGACGTCAGTAGCAGCTCACATGGGGCGTTTTCGTTGCTCGATCGAATGGGAGAAAGGAAGGTTATCCCGAGTTCTTGATTGATTGAAGAGGGAAGACATCTGAGCCAAAGTAGAAAGAACGAAGGCAGCAAGACACTCATCGACCATGGCAGTCGTTTGGGTGGCTCCTCTTCCACATAAAATATGAACGGGATCAGCAACAGGTAACCTTCTTCCTTCATTTTTTTGTGATTCTTGACAGAATCGATATACCTAAGTGGTTGTTTGGGATTTGGTGTTTGATAGGGGTAAATGGAGCAGCCTATCTCCTGTGAACCATCTTCAGTTTCTTTCTCGTTATTGGCGGTGGGAAAATAAAGGGACAAAAATAGCAGCGGCCGGCGACGGTGGAGGAGGTGTTCAAGGTGGCCAATAGGTAAGTGGAATGGGGGCTGCTCCGGCAGCCTCCCTGTTGCTTCTGTTTACTTTTTTTTACTGAAATCAATGGAGTTTTGGTGGGTTTTGGGTTTGATTTTTGACAGGAAATGAACAAGGGAAGATGAAATGTGATGAGGCTGCTTCTTCTTGACAGGAAAATGAAAGAATGAAAGAATCTGTAAGCTGCTATTAAGTTTAAATTCTTTAGGAATATTCAAAACCATTCTGCAAGACTGGTTTGTTCTGTAAGAATATTATTGTTGTATTCTGATAGTATTGTAGTTAATTAGTTATATATTTAATGTGCAGTTGTTACAAGTGTATCACTACAAAATATTTGGCAACGAATTTGTGATAGAAATGGCTTGAAGACCTGATAGGAAAGACTCCTTGTATAAAATCATTCCCATGCAATACAATTCTGATAGAATCTCAATCTTACAAAATGTCAATCTCATAGAATGCTAGCATATTTTTGAAGTGGCTTAGAGGTTAAACATACACAAGACATTTAGAAACGAAACAAGAAAGTGAATGAAGATTCTTTCAAGAATGCCGATATTTTTTTGCAAGAGATTTCAAGAATGAATGTAGTTTATGTTCATAGTTGTATTCTTTAAGAATGTATGTAATTACTTATTCTAAACTATTAAATTTCTTCTTATATAAAAGTTGTATTCATTAAAAATTATTGGTCCTGATAATATGTGTTTATAATATAATGTTCATAGTTATATACCATTCTGACAGAATTACAAAATATCATTTTAACAAAATAACATTCTGATAGAATAAAATCCGGTTATGTTTACAAATTACGTTTGAAATTAAATTAATTTGATAAAAATCAGATTTTTTAAATCAAAATCATTAATTATCCCATAAATCTCGATTTTTCCTTTTTTAATTTTGTCTCAATTGACTAAAATGACCTTATACTGAAATTTATATGATTATATGGTACATGTTACCCTATTGTACTATTATAGACCCTCAGATCGTTACCTTTGATTATATTCCATCCGATGATCCAGATCTATGCATTCTCGCACACAATAGTTCTATAAAACAAAATAACCTAACCCTACATTATATATATATATATATATATATATATATATATATATATATATATATATATATATATATATATAAACCTAAACTATAGAACATGGTTATCATCATTAAATTTCATATATTTTGACTAGGGATAAGCTCGGTTCCAAACCTGGATGCAACCCGATAGGAACCGAACCGTAAAAAACCTAAACCAATATATGTACTTCGGTTCTGATATCGGTTCTAGGTATTCGGTTCCATTACCGCAAACCTAACATTCGAATGATGACTTTTATTCATTCGTGTCATTGCACGTGGTTTACTAGACTCATGTTTTTTAAAGTATTGTAGTTAGATTAAATATGTTACTTATGGCATAGTAAAAAATAAATAACAAATCAATAGAAAACAATAAAAGTTTTGTCCAATGGTAAAATATAATTTAGAAGATAAAATAAAATATAATAAAATTATGAGCGTCAAATATATAAAATATAAAAAATATATTAATCACTCAATATATATTGAGTAGTCAATAAAAAAACAAATAAACTATATGTTCTTGTTGGTTGTAAAACAATTTTAAAACATTCTAAAAGAAGTTTAAAAACTTTCTGAAAATGTTGTAAAAAAATATTAATAATGTTGTAAAAGACATTATAGAAAGTATAAAAATAGTTGTAAAAAGTTTATACAAAAATTACATTTTTTATAAAAAAATCAAAAAAGAAGTTAAAAAAAATCTTTAAAAAATTTAGTTTGTAAAAAAAATTAATTTTATGGCAAATTTATTAAAAAAATTTGGAAACTTTAGACATAAATTGTAACAAAATTAAAACTTAGACCAAAAATATAAAATTACGAAATAACTTTTTATAAATGGTATAACAAGTAAAAATAAAAAGAAATGTATCTACTTCTGTAATAAAATCGGTTTATTGAGAATATATTGAAAACAATTATATATCTTCTAAAAACCAAAGTCGGTGGCCCTGACTTTAGTTTTCAACCCTTCAAGTTTTTAACAACTTAATTTTCATCCTTTAATAAGTTTTTAACAACTTAATTTTCATCCTTTAATATCTTTTGCTTAATCCCTTCAAGTTTTTTATTTTTAATTTTCACCCCTTTAATATCTTTGACTTAAAATTTTACCTTTTACTTTTCAAAATAACATTTTCATCCCTACAATTTATAAAATATCAATTTTACCCTCTTAACTTTAAAACAATTATAATATATTTTTCACCTCTTTATTTTCTAAATTTTTATGTTTATCTCTGTAGTATATAAAGTTTGACTTTTTTCTATCCATTGACACTTTCTATTCGTCTACTTTGTAAAATTATATTTTCCGTCCGCCTATTTTTTTAAATATAGCATTTATACATCAACTTTGAAATTTCTAAAATGTCACTTTCAACATTTCTATTTTTTAAACTTTCGTGTTTATTCCCTTAATATATATAATCCGATTTTTCGATAGTTACCACGCTTCAATTTTATAATGTCACTTTCACACCCTCGGCTTTGGACTTTATCAAATTCGTTAATAATAAAAAAAACTAATTTGTTACATTTTTATGTATATGCCAGTATAAATTTGAGATGATCAACATTTCGGCGTAAATTTAGAACTTTCTTTCATTAATTAAAAGTAAATTACTTTATTTTATATGTATATGGTGGTATAAATTCAAAATTTTATATGTTGTAATTTTTTTTCTACGTTTTAGTTCTTATTTTTAAATATGTTTCCCGTATATAAGTCAGATCACATATAATACAGTTTTTTATTATTTTAACTTTCATTCATTAAGTGAAAAATAATATTACTTACTTATGGTGGTTGTACTTTTGTTTTTCCTCTTTTTTATTTTGTCCATTTGATTCACCCCTCAACTTTTTACCTACCTACATTTTCTACCCATATTTTGAAAAATAATGTTTTCTTATTCTTTACTTTTTTTACAATATCGTTTCTAGCTTATAAACTATGATGTCTTTAAAATATCATTTTCATCTTCTTTATTTTTCACCATCTACTTTTTAAAATGTTATTTTTTACCCTTTAATTTTTAACCTTCTACAATGTTACTTTCACCTTTTATTTTTTAAACTTCTTGTCTAACTATATCTGAGAGTTGTAGATAATCATTGTACGTTGGTACCTCCTAAAACTACAACTTTTAAAATATCAGTTTCACACTATTTATTTTCTACCATCTACTTTTTAAAATGTTTTTTACCTTTAACTTTGAACCTTCTACAATGTTACTTTCAACCCCCCCCCCCCCCCCCCACACACTTCATTTTTAAGCTTTCTTGTTTAACTACATCCTAGAATTATAGCTAATCATTATACGTTGGTACTTCCTGAAACTGCAACTGAATTTTTGAATGTATGAATGTACATAACTTTTCCAATCTAATATGGTGTATGTAGTATAGACATATATACTCAAAAAAATGAAAATATAAACAACTTTTTGCCTATACTTACAAAAATAACAACAAACTTTCTACTACTATTTAAATTCATTACCGCCGCCGCAATGCGCGACAGGTTTTTTTTTTTTAGAACGGCAAATCTAAACTACTCCTAATAACACCTCCTAATACAACCTATGTCTCCAATGAGACTTGAACCCTCAACCTCTAGGAGGGATGACAACATCCGGTACCGCTGGACTAGAAGCCCTTTGGTATTTGTCGTTACATATCCGTAGAAAAAGCAAATAAAAAAAGTTAAAAAATAAAATAATAGAAAGAAAGAAAAATTATACATGAGGATTCTAGCGAAAGAGAAACCCTTTGCCTTGAAGGCGCCAGAAGCCTCTGAATTCATCTACAAATACCACCACCTTCTTCATTTCCACCATCCCAACAAATTCTTTCACGATCTTTAGTGTTCAAGCTTTTCCTAACTTTCCTTTGCAAATATGTCGATAATTCCTAGCTTCTTTGGTAGCCGGCGATCCAGTGTCTTTGATCCCTTTTCTTTAGACATTTGGGATCCCTTTGACGGTTTATTGACCCCCTCCCTATCTGATGTTCGGGCAACTGTCCGTGAAACCACCCCCAGAGTTGACTGGAAGGAGACCCCAGCAGCTCACATTTTCACCGTGGATCTTCCAGGGTTGAAGAAGGAGGAGGTGAAGGTTGAGGTGGAAGAAGGTAGGATTTTACAGATCAGTGGAGAGAGGAGCAGCGAGAAAGAGGAGAAGACCGACAAGTGGCACCGTGTGGAGAGGAGCTCCGGCAAGTTTCAGAGGAGTTTCAGATTGCCGGAGAATGCAAAGGTTGATGAGATGAAGGCTTCAATGGAGAATGGCGTGTTGACTGTGACTGTGCCAAAGCAGGAGGTGAAGAAGCCTGAGGTGAAAGCCATTGAAATCTCTGGTTGAAGGTTAAATAATTGAGTGTGTTCATGAATGGGATGGAATATGGATATCTTTATATTGAATAAAAAAAATAAGATTTAAAATATGTGTGCGTGGGAAATGGGAATTAAGGAGATTGTATAAAAACATAAGTTAAAAGTTTGTAATTTGTTCTGTCATGAAATAAATTTGTTTGCGTTTATTTAGTTTTTTCTGCTCACTTTATTTCTTCACTCTCAATTATCTCTCTTTATGTTCTTTTTTCAAAGGACTAAAGGAGAGCCAAATACTGGAGTAGTCTCACCATGTTTGTGCCCATGGAGAGTGAGCCCGCTGGATAGCGAATTGACCGGATGTCGTTACCCTTATTGAACTACAAATTTGGATAATATATTTATGATATTTAGGGTTACTTTTAGTGATAGAGCCTTCTTAGATGCAACATGACGTGATTTGTTGACAAACCATCACATATTTTACTAGCCATGACAGGTTTTCAGGACATGACTTAAGACAATAAAAATTTAACTAAAACTCAATGGTTTTATGCAGGAACGGATTTAAGGGGTTCTCAGGGTGGCTAGTGCAACCCCTCAAATTTTGCAGGATAGTGTATTTTTTTGGAAAAAATTTCAGCATAATGTAAATTCTCTGGCGTGCAACCCCTAAAATCATGTATGCAACCTTTGAGATTTTGTCATGTGTCCGTTATTGTTTTATGCCCGACCAATTAGAAAAAGCAAAAAATATGCCTTGAACAAAACCAGCACCATGGCGTGCCTTGATTCGCTTTGTCAAACGTCACATCCAGTGGCAAGTCTAGAACATAAAAACTATGTAGTTCACTATTTAAGTGAAACGTTTTTTGTTATATTTTTTTATTTAAGTTTAAGTTGTATTGGACTATCTTTTATCATATTATATAAAGTAAATTGGACATTTCGGATTTTAGGCTATTGAAAAATAAAATTTTTCCTGTAGAAATCCTAATTTTTGTACATATTTTTTGTCAAAACATTAAGCTAGATCTTCTCAAATATTTAAAGTATGTCATAAATTATTATTATATATAACTATTGCTATTTTTTTATTTTAGGTGGGTCAAGTGACCCACCTTCTTTAGCTATAACCTCCCTCGTAGTTATGCCAAACATCATCGCCATGAGGATTTGTGGGGGTTGTAGTTGCACCTTGCCGCCATGGCACGTCTTTGGTGCATTTTTTTAGAACCCTGGCAAAAAAGTTATTGTTTTATTGTGATTAAACTGCAAAATTGGTTATTGTGGTTTCGTAAAAAATATGGATATGATTCAAAAAGTTTCCTACTTGGATATGTCAAAAATCATTAATTTTCTATAGTTTTGGTCCTGAAAAAATTAAAAGGACAATTTTACCGTTTTTATTTCTTCTTTCGTGTTTTGACATTTAATTTATTACTTTAATAATTAACAAATAAAAAAGTCCCCTCGTCCTTTCCCAACACCCACTTACGGTACCTTCTATCTCATACATATACATAAATAATAAAAAACCCTCAATAAAAATCCCACCTTCCTTCGTCCCATTCCCGTCTCCGCCACCTCTATTCTCATATTTACTGCCTCTATTCAGTGGCAGAGTCATGATCAAAGTAAAGGGGTACCCCATAATTTTTTTTTCTGGGGTATCACCGCAACGGCTGAGCATGGCCCGGGTTAGGTCGGTTTTGACCTAAAACCGAACCCAAACTCATCGGTTCAGTGTTTCAGTTTTCGATTTGACTTGGGGTTTCCCTGGTTCGGTTCCGGTTTTAAACCTAAACCTTAATCAAATCATTAGCTAACCTCAAGTCTTGTTATATAAACATGAAGTTGAAGTATCTTTTGATACTTAAATAGATGTGGGACTCAAAGTTGATATCAAATGAAGCATGTTGACGTATGGTCCATTAGCATGTCCCAAACGTCAAGACCTGTCGCGCCAGCCTTGTTAGGCGCTTGCCTGCCAGCCTTGTCTGGCGCCCGCGTCAGGAGCTCTCATGGCGCCCCCGGGCGGTCTTACCCAGCTCTTTGCTAGTTGTGTCTGATTTGGGCTGGCCCAAGGCCTGACCCAACTCTCCCTTGACCTAATTTTCCATATAAATAAAACATAACCTCCTTCGGAGGAGGACCTTTTCCATTACACTCAGTCATCTCCCACCTTGGGAGATCAGCCTCCATGGCCAAACTCACACCAAACACACCAAGATGTTTCTCTCCGGCTAGGAAGAACCATCTCATATCTACCAACCAATCTAACTTGATCGTCAGAGCTTGCTCCTGGTGCACATTCCCTGGGGCAACTTTAACGACTTTGATGTGATGGCAGCTTAGGTATCTCACCGGGAACTCGCTAACGGCACCACTTCCAGATCTCCGATCCAGATCCGAGACATCAAGACTCGGCGGCCTGAGCTCATGTCGCAACATTTTGCATCATCTATGGGAACAAGAGCGAACAGTTATCATCTCTTGGTCTCAACCTCATTTTCACCACCGATCTGTTCAGATCTGTTGTTCTTCGCTTCAGGTGTGCTCAGATCTGTTCATTTCAGCCATTATCTGTTCAGATCCGTTCGGCTCTTTCCAGGATCTGTCCATATATGTTTCCCGAACGTTTAGATCTCTAGTTATGCTTCGTTTTTTCCCTCGTATCTCTATATCTGCTTCGTTTTTGCTCATCAAAATGTTTTTTAAGCACAAGAAAAGTTTCTCAGATCACTTTTCGTTTATATTTTGGTGACTTATTCAGAAAGTTGGGGAGGAAAGAAAGTTTTATGAGTTCTTACACCTTTACCAGTTCATATTCCCAGAAAACTATTTTTAGTTTAGCTTTTCATGAATATTTGATATTCTATGAAGCATATGCCCATAAAATCTCATATGCCTTAGACTCAAACCCTAGCTCCTTTGAAGGTCTTGACTCATTAAGCCTTTAAAATCTCATCCCATCGACCCAAAACACAGATCTGATGTCCAAGGGTGGATAAATCACGTAAAGTTTCTAACTTTACATCCATGCATGCGTGAAATACTCTCCAAGATCCATTTTAGCCTTCATTGTGGACATAATGCACGAATGGGACATGGAGGCTATAAACTTTTTCAACTTTAATTTTTCTAGAGGTCTTATAGAGGCCAGATCTACACTCCTAACCTCTGGAAACCTCTTATCTTGGGACATCCAACCCAAAGTCCCAAAAAAAGCCCTAAACTACCAAAATATGAGATCTAAAACACTACATTTCAAGGTTATGGCTTTATACCTTCAAAATGCAGCTCTTGATGTAGAGTTTCCGGATCCAAGATCACTCCTCCAAGATTGCCACTTCTCTCTTCAAGGCTTCCTTCAAAATCACACCACATCACTCAAAACTTTAATGAACAAGAGGGGGAGGCGGTTCTAGGGTTTCTCTGAGTAAGGAGGCTGGTAAGGAGGCCAGACCTAATGGTTAAGTTCTTTAAATAGGGTTCTAAACCCAAAAAATTAGGGTTTTCCTTTACAGTGTCTACTCGTCGAGTTGGGGCCTTCCAACTCGTCGAGTAGACCCTAACTTCCGCGTCCAATATCGATATCTACACGTCGATTTGGGCTCCCTAACTCGTCGAGTCCCAGTGCAAAACCCTAAAAACTTAAAAGAATATATATATATATATATATATATATATATATATATATATGGAACAAGTGTTACACCTACGCTACCCACATCAGAATGGGGTGAAATCAGCTAGGTATAGCCCATACAAGAAACACCTTGAAGATGGCTATCAATGCTCATGCAAAACAGACTATGTAGATGATTAATTGGTGGCATCCCACCAAGACACAATAGAAATGCCACGACATCCATGTTGCATATTCATATAGCAGCCTCGCTCTATATGTTATCATCGGGAGGACTTGTTGATGTCAGGTCCATTAACATGGCCTAGACAACTCTGGCGCACCGGCCGGATAGTAGAGAGGCACTAGAGCGGAGCTTGCCTCTTGGAAGCACAAGACGGGAGGCCCATCCCCAAACTTTGAACACGCATAATTTACGCCACATTCACTCCTAGAGCGAGGAGGAAAGGCAGAACAAGACACACCAAGGGCGAGAGCAATGTGATCTAACTCCAAGTGGATAATCACACCCCAACAGTTAGCTCTTCGTCATGGGCCCATTTTCGTGTCAAAGTTTATTATTATTCGAGCTTGATATTATTTCAATAAGAGGTTGTGCACATTTACCAAGTGATAATAAGGACTGATCATCCGCGTCACTTGAGTGAAATAGATGTGAGGATGAAACCAATAGGCTTTAAAGGCTCATAACCATTCCCTAAACGCCTCGAGGTGACGATCTCGACTTAACTTAGATAACTAGGACCAGAGTACAACTCTCATCGGCCCGAGATTTAGAACAAAGTATTAAGGGGTAACTAGAAAAATTTTCCTAAAGGTGAATACCCTAATAAAAGTGAACCAGCCAAGGTCCATAAAAAATTCTAGCCAAGGCTTTAGCCTAAAAACATAGGCTAATGACTCGAAGAAGGGACGAACCCCGAGCTCGCGAGCGGGAACTCCCGGGCCAAAACAAAAAAACTTTGGTTAAGTATGAACCCTAAATTGTTAAACCGAATAACTTTCCCCTATGAAAGGGAAGCATCCTTCGAGTCTTAACACCCCACAAAGCATTTGAGGTTCTTCAAAATGGATTGCATAGATTTGAGGTTTGAAATGGTCTTATTTATGTTTTATAATTCTAGTTTTAAAACATATGATATCATGATAATTGCATGCATCCAATTAATCATGGTATCAATTTTCTAAAAAAATCACATTTGAGGTTCAAATATAAAATCTGGTTTAATATTTTGACGCAGTTCAATTTTAACGATATTATCCAATATTAAGTTTGAGGTTGAGCCATATAGAACCTTATTTGTTACTTAATAAAACTTCATTTTATTATTAATATTTTGGAGTTTGAATAAGTTATAAAATCACCATTTTAGACTTAT